ATCTGTTAGCCGCCATCCATCCTCCAACCGTCTCCAGACACTCACACAGGACATTCACCGCCTTCACTGGTTCTGATTTGAAAGAGAGGTAGAGCTGGGTATCATCCACATATTGATAGACATCCAGCCCAAACCCCCTGATGCTCTCTCCCAGTGGCTGGATGTAGATTTTGAAAAGCATGGGGAAAGGACAGAACCCTGAGGCATCCCACAAGTGTGAGCCCAGGGGTCTGAACACTCATCCCCCCCCCACTTTCTGGACACAGCCCAGGAGGAAGGAGCAGAACCACTGTATGACAGTGCCCCCAGCTCCCAGCCCCTCTAGACAGTAACACAACACATGATGTACTCCCTCAGAAGCATTTCTAATTTTGCCTCCCCACTTTATGCCAAAGTAGACTGTGAATTGGTGGTAGCAAAAGGACTAGTAGTTTCCCTTTCTGCAACAGGGATGGCCTTAGGCTACAAAACTCCCGCCTGTGTCCTTGTTGCTATGCTATGCTAAGTGCAAGGCTATGAGCAATGCAGGTGGGGTACCAGCTGTTAGATTGCTAAAGGGAAGTAACTGGGCTTTAAAATTTTCATGGAAGCATCCTCTCTACAAAGACCAAGTTGGCTTTGAAGGGGAGGGAGTAGGGCTGGATCTACATTGACCTGTTTAACGTTACCCCCCTCCCCATTAGAACAATATTAGATACATTGTTCCAAAACGTCACAGGCCATACTTGACAATGATATATATATATTTTACCTTTCTCTCTCCTTTTTTGGTCAAATATATGTAATCCTGTTTCTTTACCTGCTGCTGGCTGCTGCTTGCTCTGCCCTGCCCTCTGCTGTCACATTTTAATTATCTCTCCCTCCCTGAACCCTGTCCCTCAAATACCATGAGAGGGGGATTGGAGTTTGAATGCAGCAAAAATAGGGTAAAACGCCACACCGGGACATATGAGCAGTGTTTCACCAATATAGCAGCATAAAATGATTAAAAATTAAGTGATTTGTTGTGTTCTGGAGGCAAAGGAAGGACTGGACCCTGATTAATACAATAGACACGAGGCTTGACCAGCAAGCCCTTTGGGAGAAAGTGCGCCTGCCACTCCCTGGTCCAGGCCATTTTTATTAACAAAAGAACTTTTACACAGCATTTGTAAGAACCAATCAGATTTCCTCTGAGCATTTCAAAAATCCCCACGTGGGGACAAAGTCAGATCAGAGGAAGCCTCTTAACTACAAAGAACTACTTCCTATTTGAGCATGCATACATGTTCAGGCTAAATAAACAGGAATCAAGGAGGAATGCCTTCGTCAAACCCCGGAGGTAATAAACCATAGGAAAGGAAGGGCAGGCAAGGAAAGACAGGCATTTTACCACCTCCTTGTGAACTCTGTTTCCTGGCCCTAAGATTAACAAAAGCTACATCAAAGCTACCTCCTTATCTTTATGTACCCAGGATGCCTGGTAAGCAACTGGTCTGTGTAGAATGCTTATACAGTGGTACCTTGGGTTACATACGCTTCAGGTTACAGACTCCGCTAACCCAGAAATAGTGCTTCAGGTTAAGAACTTTGCTTCAGGATGAGAACAGAAATTGTGTGGCGGCGGCGCGGCAGCAGCAGGAGGCCCCATTAGCTAAAGTGGTGCTTCAGGTTAAGAACAGTTTCAGGTTAAGAACGGACCTCCGGAACGAATTAAGTACTTAACCTGAGGTACCACTGTACATGACTGTCAGGCATAGAGAAAATGGGGCAGAGATGAAGACTTGTGGGGTTGAATCAGAAATCGTGTCAATGACTCAAACCCAGTCAAAGCAATGCTTTCACCGCTGACACAATGGCTTGCTTCATTTTTCTTTCTTTTTTTAAAAAATAATTTTTATTAACAGGCCAATCACATCACATTATCCATATCACATTGATTCCAAATTATACAGCCAAATTTAAAAAAAATTTTTTTTGGGGGGGGGGATACCCATACATCAAGCTCAGCTCGAGTCCAAAACTATCACTTGTCTTACTGCATTAATTAGACAGTTCTGTCCAGTTTGATCCGGATAGTCCTTTGTTACTTCCTTTCTCTTCTTGTTGTTATCATAAATTCCTTTCTTTGCGATCTCTGATGGTTTTCACAAGCAGGTTAGAAGCTGGCATTCTATGTGGGTTTTGTACTCTTCCAAAAATCATATCAATCCGGGACAGCCTCTGTACAACGCTTCCATAAACAAAATTAATCTCCGATCTGTCCTTTATTTTTCTCAGGCTTACCGAATAAATCAAATGATTCTGGGGGTTCTGTCAGGTCAAACTTACATTCCAACATTCCCTCTCATTCAAACAATCCTGAATCTCCTCCCCCAGTCCTTCTTCCTCCGGCAGACCTGTCATGGCGAGACACCATTTTTTAACTGCGTCATAAGTAATTTCCCTCTTTTCTCACCGTTCTCCAGTCTTCTTTCCTGTTATGTTCCATCCCACATAGTTCTTAAAATCCTGCCTGTGATTCATAGAAACGCGACGATCTTGTTTCTATCTGGGGTGAAGGGTTATTAATGTCACATCATGCAGGGGGAAAAAAAGTTTTTTCCTCCACCCCCCCCCCTTCGTTCCAAACATACAGTCTCCTTGTGGTAATTCATCAGAAGATTTACTTATCCATCCATCACTCCTGGTCGCAGAGATCCATTAGTCAGCAGCCTTATCAGTCGAGCTTTACTTGATGTCTGTGCTTTCAGCTTCATTTCCAAACATATGTTTCCAATTATAATTCCAAGCTGCAGCAACCAGCACGCGCTAATTGGAATCGGCGTCAGGAAGATCTGACTTCACCGAGGGCCTGTGCCAAGTGTTCTGCACCCCCATCACTCGTTTCAGGGGGTGCATTGTGAACACCGCTGGCAGGGCAGTTTCACCTGACACCCAACTCTATCTGTTGATGGATGGCCATCCTGACTCGGCCCCAGACACACTGACCAGATGTTTGGAAGCTGTGGCTGGATGGTTACGTGGGAGCCGGTTGAAGCTAAATCCTTCGAAGACAGAGGTCCTTTGGCTGGGACGGAGCGATATGGGATTGAGGGGGCAACTCCCATCTCTTGGGGGGGCGCAATTAGTGCCAGCACCGTCCGTTAAGAGTTTGGGTGTAATCTTCGACACCTCCCTTTCCATGGAGGCGCAGATTGCAGCTATAACAAAGGCGGCATTTTTCCATCTCCGCCAAGCTAAGCAGTTGGCTCCTTACCTCTCTCGCCTGACCTAGCCACTGTGATCCACGCGACGGTCACCTCCAGACTGGATTATTGTAACTCACTCTACGTGGGGCTGCCCTTGAGACTGACCCAGAAACTCCAGCGGGTGCAGAATGCTGCAGCGAGACTCCTTACGAGGTCTTCGCTGCGAGATCACATTCATCCGGTGCTATACCAGCTGCACTGGCTCCCGGTGGAGTACAGGATCAGGTTTAAGGTGCTGGTTTTAACCTTTAAAGCCCTATATGGCCTAGGACCCTCGTACCTACGGGACCGCCTCTCCTGGTATGCCCCACAGAGAAACTTACGGTCTTCAAATAAAAACATCTTGAAGGTCCCAGGCCACAGAGAAGTTAGGCTGGCCTCAACTAGAGCCAGGGCTTTTTCGGCTGTGGCTCCGATCTGGTGGAACACTCTGTCACAAGAGACCAGGGCCCTGCGGGACTTGACATCTTTCCGCAGGGCCTGCAAGACAGAGCTGTTCCACCAGGCCTTTGGCCAGGGCACAGCCTGACTCCCTCCCTCGGCAATCTTCGCGGAGCTCTGGCCCAATGGTTGCTAGTGCCTTGAATTAATTAATTTTTATAATGAATGATTTTAGAATGTTGTTTATGTTGTACTTTTGTACTGTTTTATTGTTGTTAGCCACCCTGAGCCCGGCTTCGGCTGGGGAGGGCGGGATATAAATAAAATTTATTATTATTATTATTATTATTATTATTATTATTATTATTATTATTATTATCCTGAGGTGATTAGGAAGACTGCATACTTCCCATAGCAGCCCCTTAGTACCTCGTATGGGTCAGAGAGATGTTATTGTCGGCCATCTTCCAACGCGCCACCTGGTGGCCCCCCAGCTTGCTTCATTTTTCATAATTCCTCATAGCAATCCTACATGACCACCACAGCGATTAAAAAAGACAAGATAGTAGCGCATTATGAACGTAAATAGCAGGACATCATGTGTCCATCTAGCTTATCAAAAGCATTCCTTAACCCTTCCTTAATGTTAAAAACCATGATTGTAGATTGTAGCCCTGGGTTGCACATGGAGAGGTTGGTGCCTGTTTTGCTACATTAGATTCTGCAACCTGGGGTTGATTTCTGGGAAAGGCTGACTTGCCAATCGGGCCTCTGCAGCAACCTTACTGGGGCTAGTTTGCTCTAGGGCTGTGATTTTTAACTGATTCACCAGTTAGAAAAAGTTATGTTAGGTCTTGCCTTCACTGATGGAAAGAAGAAAGAGTCCCTAACAGGGAGGAATGGCAAACTAAGCTGAAATGGCAAAACTGACTGGGAAACTCAGAGACCAAGAAGACAAGAAATTCAAGGAAGGATGGGAGAAATTTATAATTTATTTAGCAGACCACTGTAAGCAGATGAAAACATTAGCAGGATTTAAATCTCACTTGTAATGTAACAAATATCATGGATAATATGGATTGATATAAAACATAGACTATGAAATAATATGCAGTTGGAAATGTTGACAATAGAACCTGTGGAAGTGATGTGTATGTGTGGGAGGGGGGAGTCACAAGATTAAGAGAAATCTCATATTATGGCTATGTATTTGGCATTGCAATTATTTTTTCATTTGTAAAGTCAAATCACAATGTGGTGTGTGTGTGTTTTTTTTAAAAAAGATACTGTCTTCACTGTTCACTAACGTTTTCTTTCTTTCTTTACTCCCTCTTCCAACCCTTTGATGAAGTTGCCACAGCAGTATCAGAAAAATGGCATACTCTGCGCCATCTGTGGATTACATGTCTAGGAGCCTGGATGTTAGTGATGGTGGTGGATGGTAAAGAAATTATGCATGCGAGGACTCCATTGTTTGCACGCAAACCTTTCGTAGTGCTATGGAACGCACCAACCAGACTGTGCCAGCTGCGGTACAAGGTGGATTTAGACCTTAGAACTTTTAAAATTCATGCAAATCCCAATGACGATTTGAGTGGCTCCACTGTGACAATATTTTATCACAATCTCTTGGGCTACTACCCCTATTTAAAGAGCCCCGCTAAGCCCATCAATGGAGGAATACCACAGCGTGGAAACCTATACAAGCACATCGCCAAAGTCAAGTCTGATCTCAAAAAGGCCATACCTACGAATCAATTCCAGGGACTTGGAGTCATTGACTGGGTAGACTGGAAGCCCCAGTGGATGAGGAACGTGGGCACTAGAAATATGTACAAAATTTGGTCTCTCGAACCTATTAGAAAGGAGAATCCTCACTGGTCTAGTTTCAGAATCAGGAGCGCCGCCAAGCAAGCATTTGAAAAGGCAGGGGAAACGTTTATGAAGAACACCCTTATCGAAGCGAAAAGAATGAGACCAAAGGGACTCTGGGGTTACTATCTATACCCGGAATGCCATAATTATAATTTCATGGCGCATCCAGATAAATACACAGGAAAATGTGAAAAGCTTGACTTGAAATTGAACGACCGTCTGCTTTGGTTATGGAAAGAAAGCACTGCCCTATATCCTTCCGTATACCTGCAGCACAGGCTGCAGTCAAGTCGGAACTCTCAGAGATTTGTGCGCTATCGGGTTATGGAAGCAATGCGTGTTGCTACCATGGCTAGAAAGGACTATGCCTTGCCTGTTTTTGTGTATTCTAGGCCATTTTATGCCAGAACGTTCAGCCCTTTGACAGAGGTAAGGGGAAAGGCATAGACTAGAATCTATAAACCTCCCAGAACCAGCTTAAACATTACTGTTGAGCTGATTGTATACACGTGAAAGCTCCAATGTTAGAGAAAGGAATTCATGCAAGATCCTAGGACAACTTCTGTCACTAAGTAGGCAATGCTCTGAAACCAGAAATCCCTTCTCCGGAGAGTGAACTAGTGTCCTTTGAGCTCCAAAAGTGCAGTAGTCTCACAAGTAGACACTCTCTTGAACAGTTGTTGCCTTGCAAGGGACTTTCCTGCAGATTGCTCTTACAGAGGGGCCACTTATGAAGGAGCACTTTGCAGAATGGAAGCTCCCGGCTCTCAGCAGGTTTTTTTCTTTTTTTAGCTGAAACATTTGTCCTGCTCCCCAAAGCAATTTAATGCTGCTTCCAGGGCAGGCTGGGTTGTCCCCAAAATGATCCAGGGTGGGTTGGCCTGAGCTGAACCTCCACAATCATATATGTTAGGGTTGCTATATTTCAAAAAGTAAAAATCCAGACACAAAAGTTGTTAAGCGTTTTATTCTTCTTATTCTTATTCATTTGGCTAAAGTTTCTGAGCTGCTTTTTGGTTTTTTTTTTGCCAAATTTCCCCAAAAATATATTGAGTTTTTGAGGTATTTTTAAGGAAAATCGCCAAAATAACAACACTTCCGGCATGAGTTGCCATATGTCCGGGTTTTTGGGAATTCCATCTGGATGAATCCTGGATATGTCCGGGAAAGGAAAACCCGGACGTATAGCAGCCCCAATATATGTGTACTATAACACAGATACATATACATTTAAACCACAAATATATGCATTTAAACCATAAACACTCTAAAAAGAAATATACTGTCATGGTGAACAGAGCAGGACTAAGCACTCTCTTCCCTAAATGCACAATACACCCAGAGGTGCCAGATTCTCTGGACAATTGAGGGGGCCCAACGCAGCACCCTGATATCGCGAGTGAGGTCCTCTGAATATTGAAGGGGCTCTGCCCTTTCAAAAAAAAAAAAAAAAGATGGGGAGGGGTCAAAGTGCCTTGGCCTCCAGGAGTCAACGCCTTTAAACACACCAGAATGTTCTTCATGTGGTGATGAAAAGTTGGCAACAGCAGAACAGGGTATATGTGTGTGTGTCATATTTCTAGTGGGAGAGAGTTCCTCAGCAGAGCACCACAGCGAAGTTCTACAGCCACAACTGACAATGAGCTATGTGAGTTGGCTGCATGATGTGCCACAGTCACAGGACCACAACAGGGCCTCTGCTGCAGATAGTAGCATATACTGGCAGAGGCAAGCATTCAAGTATTTGGGGCCTAGGAACGTACTTTATAGACCAAAGTCTGAAAACTGGGCCTGCTTGCATTCCGGTGCTGTTCTTTAAGGATTGGTGAGGTCCATTCCCAAATCGCAATGCCACCCAGAAGCCTGGCAGCCTCATTTTACACCATCTCCAAGCGCAGGAACTCCTTTCAACGTATCCAGACAGCCTTCCAGTGTTGGGTCCTTGAATACCGCCCAATCTATGCACCTGATCCTTCTGGAAGAGTTCGGCCTCATCCAGCATGGAGCCAAGTACTGCCCACCACCAGCACTTTCATCTCGACAGAGTTCAGTCTCAACTCATTGGCCTTCACCCAGCTCATTGCTGCACCCAGACTCCGATCCAGCAACTGCACATCCTCTCCTGAATAAGAGCTGGACATCACCCACATACTGTTGACATGGTGACTTTTCCCAACAGGTTCATAGAGTTGTAGAAAAGCACAGGGCCGGAGGTGGCATGGGAGCTCACAGTAGAATCATAGAGTTGGAAGGGACCCTGAGGATTGTCGAGCAGCCCAACCCCCTGCAATGCAGGAATATGCAGTTGCCAGGATCAAACCAGCAACCTTGGCACTGTCAGCACCATGCTCTAACCAACCGAGTTATCCAGGCCGTTTCAGAGTTGAGTTACACAGGTAGCAGGGATGCAGTTTTCGGAATACAGAGTTTTTGAGCTTTATGGGTGCTGAAAAGGGTTCGCATTTATTGTGCCCTATCCTGGTCATTTGGATTGCTGTTCAGAAGGTCGACAGTTCAAATCCCCACGACGGTGTGAGCTCCCGTTGCTTGGTCTCTGCTCTTGGCAACCTAGCAGTTTGAAAGCACGTCAAAGTGCAAGTAGATAAATAGGTACCACTCCAGCAGGAAGGTAAACGGTGTTTCCGTGTGCTGCTCTGGTTCGCCAGAAGTGGCTTAGTCATGCTGGCCACATGACCCAGAAGCTGTACGCCGGCTCCCTCGGCCAGTAAAGTGATATGAGCGCCGCAACCCCAGAGTCATCTGCGACTGGACCTAACGGTCAGGGGTCCCTTTACCTTTACCTTTACCTATCCTGGTCATTCGGATTGATCCCACACTCTTGAAATTGCTGCATGTTTTCACAGGAGATAGACACTAGCCTTTGTTTGTAAAAGAGGGTTGACAGTGTTGTAGAAAACGGCATTAAACCCTCTGGTGTGCACATTCCTACCAGTGAAATCTCTGGCAAACAGGTGTTGCAAGGCGGGCAGGTTGTAGTGTTCGAAAAACCTGTTTCTTTAGTAGTTTCTGCAATGGTGAACCAAAAAAGAAAAGCAAAGCAAAATGAGTGTGTATATTATTACTATTATTATTATTATTATTATTATTATTATTATTATTATTATTATTATTATTATTATTTCTATATCACCCTTCATCCAAGGATCACGGAATGGTTTACAATATAAAAACACAAAAATACATACCATAGTAATAAGCAAAAACAATACCCAGAGGCCCCCAACACAGTTTCAAAGGCCATAGATCGTTTAATTAGCCAAAGCCCTGGGAGAAGAAGGCTACTGCTTGGTGCCTAAAACTATGTAATGAAGGCGCCATGTGAGCATCCCTGAGGAGAGTGTTCCACAAGGAGGGAGCCACCACAGAAAAGGCCCGTTCTTGTGTTGTCGCTGTCTGGACCTCTCGTGTAGGAGGCACATGGAGAAGAGCTTCAGGTTATGATCACAGGTTGGTTCATAGGGGGACATCGCAGCAGTGCCTTACCTTTGCCTCTTGGTTATTATGCATGTTCCTGCTTTACTTTTCAGGAAGACTTGGTGAATACTATTGGTGAGAGTGCAGCACTGGGGGCCGCAGGAGTCGTCCTGTGGGGAAACCATCGGTATGCCCTAAGTAAAGTAAGTGAATTAAGAAAATGAATTTGATTTCGCAAGAATTCTTGGGTAACCTCTCATCTTCTTCTCTCCCCACCCCTGTGTATTAATTTTGTTTTTTTACATATACAGTGGTATCTTGGGTTACATACGCTTCAGGTTACATATGCTTCAGGTTACACACTCCGCTAACCCAGAAATAGTGCTTCAGGTTAAGAACTTTGCTTCAGGATAAGAACAGAAATCGGGTTCTGGCGGCGCGGCGGCAGCAGAAGGCCTCATTAGCTAAAGTGGTGCTTCAGGTTAAGAACAGTTACAGGTTAAGAATGGACCTCTGGAACGAATTAAGTACTTAACCTGAGGTACCACTGTAATACAGTAAAAAACCAAACTGGTCTAAAGAGTAATAATAATAATAATAATAATAATAATAATAATAATGTAATGCAGAAAAAGAAACAAAAAGATATAACAGAAGAAGAAAGGGGGGAGAAAGAAGAAAGAAAAATAAAATAAAATAATAGAACAGAACAGAACAGAACAGAACAGCAGCAGCAGCAACAACAACAACACAAAATCTATCACAATTGTATCTTAATGTTCAGTCCACATACAGGGAAGTAAATCCTCCCAGCTCTCACCTGGGAGCTTCCCCCTTCCTCAACCTCACACCTTGAGAAAGACCTTTCTTGCCTGCCTTCCTCTTCTGTCCAACACCTCTCTGTATGTATATTTTTACCCCAAATATAAGTCTTCAGCAGTGCTTTTTTTAAAAAAGGAAAATGGATGCCAGTAATCACCATGAAGTAAGCGCCACACTTTTTAACAACAAAAAAGAGGTGCCGGTGCTGCGTAGTCTTGGGTACCCTCTGAAAAAAAAGCTCTGGGCTTCAGAAAATAAAACTGACATATGAGTAAGATAAACAGAGGGCTCTCAAGAATTTAAAATAATAAAAAGAACAAAAAAAAGTAAAGGAGAAAAGAGATTCTTCAAAGAGCTGATTTTCGTGGTGAAAGCTCTGGGGCAGAAGAAAGAAAGAAAGAAAGAAAGAAAGAAAAGAAAGAAAGGAAGGAAGGAAGGAAGGAAGGAAGGAAGAAGGAAAGAAAGAAAGAGAGAGAGAGAGAGAGAGAGAGAGAGAGAAGGGGGGAGAGCTCAGAAAGAGCAGGGCAAAATGTAAATGCAGAGAAGCCACCTGAATGTGACAATCTTGGTGGCTCAACTGAGTGGGCTCTCTTACTAGTCAAACCTATATACCTACACGTTGTGGTGGTGTCAAGGTAAAGGTAATGGGACCCCTGACCATTAGGTCCAGTCGTGGCCAACTCAGGGGTTGCAGTGCTCACCTTGCTTTATTGGCTGAGGGAGCCGGCGTACAGCTTCCAGGTCATGTGGCCAGCATGACAAAGCCGCTTCTGGCGAACCAGAGCAGCACACGGAAACGCCGTTTACCTTCCTGCCGGAGCGGTACCTATTAATCGACTTGCACTAAGTGCTTTCGAACTGCTAGGTTGGCAGGAGCAGGGACCGAGCAACGGGAGCTCACCCCGTCGCGGGGATTCAAACTGCTGACTTTCCGATCGGCAAGCCCTAGGCTCTGTGGTTTAACCAACAGCGCCACCCGCATCCCGTGGTGGTGTCAACAGATCTGGAAATTACAGAAAAAGATGAGGAGCAAAATGAAGAACCCATTTTGCTGCTTTCCTCCCTACCATGGGCTGTAGAAACATACAGATAAATAAATAAAACTGAGATTTAGGGAATCCCCCCCCCAATTCCCTTCTTTGCCACGGACACATTCCTTGATCACTCAGACAAGTATCTGTCCTGGTCATTTGACAATAGAGATGCAATCTGCAACCCAATATTCCAGTTTATACGGGAGTGAGCCACCGTGGACCCTGTGGGGTTTACTTCCCTGTAGATGTGCAAGGTATCGCTCTGCCACTAAGCCTGTTGTTGTCTTTGTTTTCTATTAGGAAAGCTGCGTGCAACTGAAAAGCTATGTAAGTGGTCCCTTGGGACGTTACATCATTAATGTGACTTCTGCGGCCACGTTCTGCAGCAAAACTCTCTGCAACATGAATGGAAGATGCGTTCGTAGAAACAGTGAATCGGATGCTTATCTGCATTTGCCTTCTCACCGTTATAAGATTGTCTTCGATAACTCCGATGCAAGAAAAGTCCTCGTGAAAGGATATCTGAGGCAGAAGGATAGAAAGACCCTGAAAAGCAGTTTCATCTGCCACTGTTACCAGGGATGGAAGGGGTCGGCTTGCAAGTGGCCTTCGTCCTCAAAAGGGTGAAAACCATACTGACAATAAAGGCAATTCAGTCTCTCTTACTCAATATTGCACTGTTCCGCTTTTGATTATTTTTATTCATCTGTTTATTTAAAATATTTTATAGCTTGTTTGTAACCCATTGCAATAGCAATGGGTTAAAAATGTGGTATATATTACATGCCGGCCAAGTGCCCCGTTTTAAGCGGGTGGCGCTGTGGTCTAAACCACTGAGCCTCTTGGGCTTGTCGATTGGAAGGACAACGGTTCGAATCCCCGCAACGGGGTGAGCTCCTATTGCTCTGACCCAGCTTTTGCCAACCTAGCATTTCAAAAGCACGTCAAAATGCTAGTAGATAGATAGGTACCACTGTGGCGGGAAAGTAAACGACATTTCTGTGTGCTCTGGTTTCTATCACAGTGTCCTGTTGCACTAAAAGCGGTTTAGTCATGCTGGCTACACGACCGGGAAAGCTGTCTGCGGACAAACGCCCGCTCCCTTAATCTGAAAAGCGAGATGAACGCCGCACCCCATAGTCACCTTTGACTGGACTTAACCGTCCAGGGGTCCTTTACCTTTTACCTTTACCTTTAAGCAGGGCTACCCTGCTTTCCTTGAAAGTGCCCTGGGCTCTTCCTTCATCACGGGCACCCCAATTTTGCGTGGCCTGTGGATGGAGGCTGTAAAAGCAGCTCCTGGGATGGCAGCTGCATTGGTGCCTTCCAACATGGCACCAGCATTTGCTACATCTCCCATCAGCCCCTGGGAGAGGGGCCCAAATGTCTGTGTGTGTGAAGGGGAGGAGCCTCAGGCTTCCTCTGCCAACCATGTGAGTAGCTCATGCCTGGGGTGGGGTGCAGGAAGTGGCTTCCTTCCACCTCAGGGGCGGCGTGCGAGTGGGCCAAGGCAGTCCAACAGGGATGAGTCCATCACATCTTTCTTGACAGCAAAGAAAACTACAAGAAATAGGCAGAGGCGCTAAGCTCCAGCAAATGTTTCAGTGAAAAGATATGCCTAAAGCTGGTGCCTCAAACTCATCAGAATCAGCACTACCCATATATCCGAGGGCCAAGGATAGCACAACTGAGCACGGAATCACCCCTACATAACATATCTCAGGGGGCTTCAGAATCATCAAGAGGGCCTCTCCCACAGATCTTAATATGCAGGCAGACACTCCTTCAAGTAATCAGGTCTCAAGTTGTACAAGACTTTATAAGTCAGCAGCTTGTTGTCACCTAGCCATGTCCCTGTCTGACATATTTAATGGCTGAAATGGACACCAAATTTACTTCTCCAGCTGGACAAATCACAGATCATGCTTTTGATAATAGTCCTTCCCTGTTCAGATAGCATCAGAGGGCCACTGGAATATGGGACATTCTGTGCAGCATTCAGCTGATGCTTTTAGGCCATTTGGATTTGTCTGAAAATCAAATCCAAGTTATAAAGACCAGGACTAACCACCTGAAAAACAGGTTCTAGGCAAATGCAATTCTGGTTCTAAACACAGCATAAGGAGTCTCTATAGTATATTGTATTTTAAAATGGGGTTTCAGAGTTTTTAGGGGTTTTTGAATGTCTTATGTAGATTTTCAATTTCATTGTTCTTTATGGGACAATGACAATAAATATATTGTATTTGTATTTGTATTCGTCTAAACTTTTGCAGGTCTGGCTAGCCATCACTATTGTTCCTTCCTGAAGAGATCATGAGAAGATAGCAACAAGATATCTCCTCCTGATGCTACAACCAGAAAAGTGCTGGCCTAACAGAAAAAAATAGGGAATATGGCCTATAAAGCCAGCGTTCATCCATTCTGTTTCACCTGCAGGTTGGTTGAGAGTAGATTGCTCAGCACATCAAGGCGTTACAATTTAAAACTAGAGCTGAACAGAAAACCCAGTGAAAGGAACAGGCATGTCTTCCACGTAAGATGCCATCAGGCATCAGCTGAGGTCTGTCTCAGGCTGCTATGAGCGACTCCCAGCTGATTGCCAATATAGTATAAAGTATAAAGGGAAAGGGAAAGTATAAAGACAAGGGAGGTTTCTTTTTATTCAGTATTTACAGAGAGCGGCTATAGAACCCAGCCTCTTGGATAATGGTGTTGTCCCGAGTGGATCTCCATCCCCCCATCTCTCCCACTTCCTCATTTGTCACTTCTATGGGAGCTGCTATGTGCCCTCTGTCTTTGAGCTCTTTGCTCTCCTACCTTTATGGCTTGCTGGGTTCAGGGTGGTGGTGGTGGTCCTGGAATGCTTTCTAAAGACACTGTGTCCATCGGCTGTCATCTCTCTGCTGCTTCCTCCTCCTCTTCCTCCTTTCCCATTATTTCCCAACTCCCCCCCTCCATTTGCCTCTGAGCTGTGAGCTCCCGCAAACCCCTGTTGTAAATCTAAACTGTCTTCCTCTTCCTCCCCCCTGGAAGGGTCAGGCTGAGGAGGCAGTCTCCGCCATATCTCCTCTGCCCAGTCCCTGACAGTCCGGGACATTCTGTATGGCACACAGCTGATCCCTCACCCCATTTGGATTTGTCTTAACAACCAGCACTTTGTGCCTGAAATGGCCCAAGGCAACCACTGCCCTTATCCCTGCTGCTCTTCATAGAATCATAGAGTTGGAATAGACCACAAGGGCCATCGAGTCCAACCCCCTGCCAAGCAGGAAACACAATCAGAGCACTCCTGACATATGGTTGTCAAGCCTCTGCTTAAAGACCTCCAAAGAAGGAGACTCCACCACACTCCTTGGCAGCAAATTCCACTGTCGAACAGCTCTTACTGTCAGGAAGTTCTTCCTAATGTTTAGGTGGAATCTTCTTTCTTGTAGTTTGGATCCATTGCTCCGTGTCCGCTTCTCTGGAGCAGCAGAAAACAACCTTTCTCCCTCCTCCATATGACATCCTTTTATATATTTGATCATGGCTATCATATCACCCCTTAACCTCCTCTTTTCCAGGCTAAACATGCCCAGCTCCCTTAGCCGTTCCTCATAAGGCATCGTTTCCAGACCTTTGACCATTTTGGTTGCCCTCCTCTGGACACGTTCCAGTTTGTCAGTGTCCTTCTTGAACTGTGGTGCCCAGAGCTGGACACAGTACTCCAGGTGAGGTCTGACCAGAGCAGAATACAGTGGCACTATTACTTCCCTTGTTCTAGATGCTATACTCCTATTGATGCGGCCCAGAATTGCATTGGCTTTTTTAGTTGCCGCATCACACTGTTGGCTCATGTCAAGTTTGTGGTCAACCAAGACTCCTAGATCCTTTTCACATGTACTGCTCTCAAGCCAGGTGTCCCCCATCTTGTATTTGTGCCTCTCATATTTTTTGCCCAAGTGCAATACTTTACATTTCTCCCTGTTAAAGTTCATCTTGTTTGTTTTGGCCCAGTTCTCTAATCTGTCAAGGTCGTTTTGAAGTGTGATCCTGTCCTCTGGGGTGTTAGCCACCCCTCCCAGTTTGGTGTCATCTGCAAATTTGATCAGGATGCCCTTGAGTCCATCATCCAAGTCGTTGATAAAGATGTTGAATAAGACCGGGCCCAAGACAGAACCCTGTGGCACCCCACTAGTCACTCTTCTCCAGGATGAAGAGGAACCATTGATGAGCACCCTTTGGGTTCGGTCAGTCAGCCAGTTACAAATCCACTGAGTGGTAGCATAGTCAAGACCGCATTTTACCAGCTTCTTTACAAGAATATCATGGGGCACCTTGTCGAATGCCTTACTGAAATCAAGGTAGGTTACATCCACTGCGTTCCCTCATCTACCAGGCTTGTAATTCTGTCAAAAAACGAGATCAGGTTAGTCTGATATGACTTATTTTTCAGAAATCCATGCTGACTATTGGAGATCACAGCATTCCTTTCTAGGTGCTCACAGACTGTTTGCTTAATGATCTGCTCCAGAATCTTCCCTGGTATTGATGTCAGACTGACTGGGCGATAATTATTTGGGTCCTCTCTTTCCCCCTTTTTGAAAATATGGACAACTCTTCAGAGTGGCCCCAGCTCCCGCCCCACATCCTGCCCCCTGCTCCATCTCCTCCTGCTCAGATTTTTCTCCTTCCTCCAGCCCTGGCTCCTGCCTTGCGTAATAAATCACTGGCGTCTTCTCTTGGGTTATTGTTTTCCACTCATCTTGTATGCCCACCTCAGGTCCAATTTTGTATCAGGAGTCCAGGTTCCCAGCTTGATAACACAATAAGCGTAGCTAATTAAAAAGAAGGATTTATTGCAAAAACAAACATAGCTCCAGACGGCTCTAACAAAGCCTCCGGCATCATTACTTAAGATGACCCTTCTGAAGACTCCTTCCGGCATCTAAAGAAGATATTGAACTTATGACCCTTGTGTCTCTTGTTTTGCTTCCTATCTAGCAGCCCTCCCATTTGCTCCCATTATTGGATCAGCTCCAACCTCTTCCTTTTCTGAGAGGCTGTCTCTGAGTTTGTTCGTGCCTGATTGTGCTGTTGGCGAGCTTTGGCTGTGTTCTAGCCTGCTCTCAGCTCCTGCCATATCATCCTGCCCGTTAAGGTCAGAAAGAGCTGAAGTCTGCAGCTGCCAGCTCTCCCCTGCCTGACTAACATCAAAGCTTCTCTGTTCTTGGCTGCTTTCTGCAGCTGGCTGCCAACTTTGCTTGGAGCTGTTTCATTCCTGACATTTTGTGAAGACTTTGGCCACCCTCAGACCCTCAAGCAGCTATCCTATGAGGGCCAGTGGGGACTGAGTGGGGGCTCAGTTGAGGCTTCTGTAATCCATGCAGCACCACTGTCCTCCACTTCTTGACAAACACCATCAGAGCACTGCCTGGTGCCTTCAACAGATGGATGAAGCCACTTGCCAAATTCTTCTCCAAAAACTCCCACAGCTGTAAGTCAACCCTGTCTCCTTCTCCTCTTGAAACGGCTGGATACAAGGGGCACAAATCTTCCCACTCCCCCTCCTCTTCCGAGAGGAGCCGAGGAGGCAGAGGAGGGGACAGTTCCCAGCCTTCCTGTTCAGTCCTATCTCTGACATA